CTGGGGAATTCTGGGAGTTGACATCCACACGTCTTCAAGTTGCCAAGGTTGAGAAACACTGATCTAGATCAAAGGTGGCTTTTAGGTAAAGATACTCAGCCTATAGCTCCCCAAAATTTATGGGGACACCTTCAGGGTCCCTTGATACTGGCAGCTGATCTGTAATTTTTAATACAGCAGAAAAGGGAAATTATGTATGTGTGTAGTGTAAGTTGTCTTAGCTTGTTTAATGAAGTGAGTTTCATTTTAATTAGATTTAAATTCAATCAAATTTATTTTTGATTGACCCTCTTGGCCCACTACTCACGAATGAAGTGTAATCCTCCATGATTAAAGGATTTCACGCCCCTGTTTGAGACACACTTGCACACTTTCTTCTCTTCGTATGGTTGCTCTATAAATGGAGGCTAGCAACAGTGCCATTCCTGGATGGGCCCTTTAATCACAGTTGGCCGTTAGAATAATACAGCTGGTTGGATCAGTTGGGCATTACTGGCAGCCCTGAATGGGCTCATGACCACTGTTCCATGGGGATTACTTGTGATCTTGAAAGCCTGAATTATGTTTTCTAACGGGTGGAGGAATCAAATGAAAAGAGATTCAAAATCCCATCTCAGGACCTTGTTCTTCCTGCTTCAGTACTGCTACTACGCAGGCTATTCCAGGCCTGAATCTCAAGTAAGGTTACCTTTTGGCGAGAGGCAACCCAACATCTGTCCCTAACCATCTCTCTCTCTGTAGCATCCATCCTAGTAGGTCTTCCCAGTCGAACCTCTGGAAACAATCTGAGCAGCATCTGTTTCAACAGAATACAGGGAAAGAGGAGAAGTGAGTCAGCCCCGTCGTTTCTGAAATTGTGTCCCCCAAGGGCAAGACAGTGTTGAACCAATCATGTGTTTCAGTAGGAGTTCCCTGTGTTTTTACATCTAGTTACACCAATTTACATCCTCTTGATTTCTGAAGACTCTCTGATCCCATGCCATGTGGAGAGCTTTTGGGGGCTTCTAGGTAACCATGGGATATACTCAACCACAATGTTAACTCTTCTGTATTCCACATTGTACAAACCCAATATGAACACCAGCACCTGTAATTTTTACAAATTGATAAATCAATGGTTGCTCTTCTTTGCTGATCTTTCATTTTTCTTCATTTTTAGCTGTCTTGATGAGCATGTGTTTACTCTCAGTCACTTATGGAGCTTTGGTCTGCAACACCCTGGCCATCCAGATCAAGTATGACGACTACAAGATCCGTCTGCGCCCACTGGCCTTCATCTGTATCTTCTTATGGAGGGGTTTGGAGATCTCAACTCGCATCACCATCTTGGTTCTCTTTGGGACCGTCTTCAAATATTATGGTTTGGCTGTTGGTGCGGCCAACTTCCTGTTGTTCTTCTTCTTGCCATGGGTTGAGTTCTGGAGGAGTGGGGCCAAATTGCCTGACAATGTGGAGAAGAACTTCAGCCGAGTGGGAACCTTGGCTGTCCTACTCTCCATCACTTTGCTCTATGGCGGCATCAATGTCTTTTGTTGGTCGGCTGTCCAGCTCAGGTTGTCTCGGCGAGATTTGATTGTCAGGTCACAAAACTGGGGCTGTTTAGCATTTTTCTATGTGTTCCGGGGGATAGAGAACAGTGTGTTGCTCCTGGTCTGGTACTTCTTCAAGACAGACATCTACGAGTACCTCTGCACTCCCATGCTTGTGCTGCAGCTGCTTGTGGCATACTGTCTGGCCATTGTGTTCATGCTTTTTTTCATGCAGTATTTGCATCCATGCCGCCGCCTCTTCACACACAACGTCTCTGACTTCCTGCACTGTGTCTGTTGCCAGAAGCAAGAAGTTTCCAACCCTGTGCATTTGGAACCACCTCAGGAACCTGGTGTGAGGCACAGTGTAGTATGATGAGAACTACACAGAACTTCCAAACTGATAATTAGTAAACTGCTGATGGGATGATTATGGACCCCATCCTGTCAAGTCTCAGCAGTGGTATCTGTTTACTCCAACGGGATAGGCCTTAATTTCACGGTGCTATAATTTATAAACAGGGACGTTGGTGATCTTGGTGGTGATGTCTTCTGGAGCATCAGCTGGACTTACAATGGTGGGCTTTAAGAGTATAGTTTTCCTTTACTGATGTTGGTGCAGGACTAGGGGCAGGCAACATCAAGTACAGCAGCAGGAGACTGTTGTATGTTATGAAAGAAGAACTCTAGTTGAGGGGGCAAATCCATCACTGAAGGATGGCCGTGCCCTGCTAGGTGCCAGCAGTTTGGCATCAGAACTGCCTCAGTTGTGCCCATTTGCAAAACATGGAACTGAAGGATCCTCCATTGGCTAAAAGGGAGAATTAGTGTAAGAGGAAGAGTGGCCAATGGGAGCTGTCTTATATCTGTGTGACATCACAGTCCTCCCAATAGTTGGATAAAATGGGCCTTCGGAATCACTTTCCCAGCCCTTCCCTTTTACATTTATTTATTCATCTGAAAACTTGTGAAAACTTTTTTTTCTTTTTTTGTAATTTGAAGTGCTGGAAAACATTTTGCAATTCATAGGAACGTGGCCTCATTTTATCCTTGGGTTTCCACAGTTCCATTTATGGGCCAAGCTAGTGGCTGACCACTAGTGGCGTTTTTCAAGGCAGAAAGGACTGAGACCGAGCTTGTTGAACTTGTGATGGGAAACTGGGCCATCCCATGTCCAAGTCATGGTTCTAGGAGATCAGCTCATCATAGTTGGGCTGTCACCTGGGAGGCGAGGATCTTCCCCACCAGCTGGCTGTACTCCATGCAAATATATACTTGGAGTGATTTTTTTTTTAATCCATTATGTTGAAATGCTCAGGTCTTATCAACCCAGTTTGGCCAAGCTTCTTGGCCTCCCAAACAATTCCCACTGTATGTAGTGCAAAGATGTTTCTGAACATGAGCTTGTCCAGCAGGTGAGTCTTCAGCCCAAATGCCTGTGAGGAACAAGGGCTGCTGGACATGTTGGGTTATGTATTTGATCCCAACAACTTCCTTGCACAAACTGATTTCTCTTTGTGTCACTCCTCTGTTGAGCTAATACATAGGCCAGACTCCGTATGGGGTTTTGATGCCCTCATATTGTGGGGTGGAAAGCTGATCTGTGACTGATCCTATTATGGTTATTTCTGTCCCAGTGAGCAGGGTGAACATGACCTTCAGTAGTAATAATTAAGAAAAAAAGAAAATGGAAGAGGAGGATGAGGATGAGGCAGCAGGCAATAGAAGCAGCGCTCTTTAATTGGATGGTAGCCACTGTCCTGCTAATTGCCCATAATGCATTGCTGCGTGCCATTGGGAGCTATGATCCCATGACCACCTAATGCTTGTTGGAGTCTGGAAAAGCAGGCTCAAGGCCCCGAACCCCGTCATAGCCAGAGGAAGTTACTTATTGATGCTAAGCCTAAGAGTAGAGGAACATCTGGGGCAACACAGGGTAATCAGCTGCCCTTTCGTGCTACATCAAGATGGCCTCTCTGGAGCACTTTTGATGCTCTCACTTGTATATTGACAGGTATATTTTCAGTTCAGCCTTTTCCAACCCCCAGATATTTTGCACTGCGACTCCTATAATCAACAGCCATTATGTAAAGGTTGGAAAAGGCCACCTTTGATTAGCAAGGAGAGGCCCATTAATGCCACTTAGGCCCTATCAATCTTCCTACTTTCTTGCCTGTTCTCCACTGGAAATGGGAAGAAAAAAAGGGTGGCTTAAAAAATAGTCAATTCTGGATTGGCCTTTAAGAATGTGTAAGTTCTTTAAATCCTCATTACGTTTGTCTGCTCTTTTCTCCAACCAAAGCATCCACTAGCTACTGAGATTGAGAACTCTAGCCTGAAGTAAACCCAGTTTCAGGGGAACCTTCTAAGTCCCTGCCCTCCTCCACTTCATTTTGAACAGGAGTCTGTCTTTCAGCCATGCAGCACAAGTCAATGTAGCAGATACCAGCCAAGCCAACCCTTGGGTAGAGTTTCACCCTGTCCAGTTGGCTTTCAGAGAACAGCTAAAGCCAGCAAGGAATGCTCACCTACCTCAAGGGGAGATTCCACCTCGGTTTCCCCTTTTTCCGCTGCCTTTCTCTGATTAATTCAGGCTTCCTGAGCAGGTTTTGGGACCAGGCAATCTTAAGGCTAGAAGCACCATTTATTTTCTCTGATCCTCCATTTCTTTTTAATGCATCATTTCCTGCAGAGTAGCCATTCTGGCAAGGGACTTCCCACATGTGATTTTTTATGACTGCTGGTTTGCTTCCCCCCCCCTTTTTTTTCCTCAAGTAAAGCAGCATATATCTAGGGATTTAGGAGATAAATAGACAAGTGCTGCAGTTAATCATCCTGAACTACCTCTTTGAAGTGACAATTCCTTTCCCTTCCCTTCCCTTCCCTTCCTTCCTTCCCTTCCCTTCCCTTCCCTTCCCTTTTTTTTTTTTTTTTGCTGCCCTTTCTTTGAGTAGAAGCGATGTTTGGAGTAATGTGAGGGGTCTGCAAATAAAATATGCCTTAAATAAATCTATTTCTTTTCAAAAGATAGGTATTCTGAAGGCTTGTCAAGGAGTTAAGCAAAATTACAAAATAAAGCTCTTTTTCTTCCCCTTTAGGTGGGAGGTTGAAGATTATATGCTGGGCTGGTTCCTGTTATTTATTGGATCAAAACAAAACTCTTCCCCACACATAGAAAACTAGCACATCTGGGAGAAGACTTCCCTATACAATTATCCTAGTCTGGCCTGTCTCAACCAGCCACCCTCCAAATACACCAGATTACCACCTTTAGAACATGCTGCCACTTTTAGGAATTAAATCAGATTGTTCTGTTCTAGCCAAGACATTGTTCAGAAGAGAACACGAAGTTACTATTCTTAATTAAAGTATTTGTTTTTAAATGCACGAGCCTTCTGTTTCTGTTACTCAGGCATGAGTAAGGATGCTTTTATAGGCATAAGGCACCATCTGTACAAAAGATAATGAATGCATCTCCAGTGATTAGAAATCTTAAAGTTTACAGATGTACCCCCCCCACACACACAAAAAAGCTTCATTAACAGAAGGGCTTCCTATTAATCTACCCAATGCAGATTAATCATAGCTAGTGGCCATGAAAAGCTCACTGTTGGGAAAAAAAGACCTTGTCCAGCTAAATGCATGTGAGTATTCCATGTTCTTTGCACCACACACCACTCAACATTATCTGTCAGCATATCATACCATGTTTTCTTAATTTGTAAAGAACACAAGAAAACTTTCTTTGGTACGATGGAACGTAAGGTCTTGTAATACAGTTGGAACAGCAAAAGATACCAGTAGTCTTGCCCTCCTGTTGACATGAAATATTTTAAACTTCTTAGGTCATACTTTTAAATATAGAATCTCAGCTCAGCATCGCTTCAGTAAGTATCTGATTATATCCTGGAAAAAAATGAGTAACACAAACACCTACCGCTGGGTGGCAAACACGGTAATATGATGTGATGTTAAGGAAGGTCAACTGGAAAACAGAACGAAAAGAGAGGGATACCTTGAATCAAAAGTTGAAACTTGCTTTTTAAATCTATAGAGCGTGGGGCAGATGTGAGTTTGCCTTTGCAATGATGTGTATTGTCTATCAAATGCTGTCATTCTGATCACTGAATGCTACCGGGTGCCAAATATTATTCCATGCCATCTGTAATATAGTCAAATACCACCAACTTCTGCATGCGCTGTCAACTTTTGTCAACTGTGAAATACATATCAACTCTCAAATACTATGACATATCAACTATGGAAATAAACATTTAATAAAATGTGAAATACAGATTTTAAAACATTTGGGGGGGAAACCCTGAGGATAATTGATTGGAGCAAATTTTGTTTCAGCTCTGCTGGATATACACTTTTAGGCCTAGATTTATCTGTGGGGAAAACATCTTTCAACAGTACGTGTACCTCACCCTCTTTTTTTTAAGGCTTACAGATTAAGCACTTCAGCTAATGCAAAGATGTCTTCTGCATTTCTCTATTTATTCTCCTGCGCTTTGATAGAAATTGTTTCTCCCCCCCCGCCCTTTTCCCCTCTAGTTCTATTATTTTTTTAAACACATGATTTCCCCTATTTGCCATTTTTGGCAAAGAACAAGCCTTAGATGCTGCATTTGCTCATGTTAGCCTTGCTTAGTTTAATGTGTTGTGCAAATCCCGTTTCTACTTCAATGAAGAACCCAGAAGATGGACTAATTGAGTCATTAAGTTCTCCTAGGAAGCTTTGAGAAGGCTTATATCTCATTTTGCCCACCCCAGTAGCTATAAGATTGAGGTTGGTTTGAGCATTAATGCCTTGTCTTGCTTGATGTTCTTTTGGCTTCAGGCCACAGCACCCAGTCTTTTGCAAGATGATGTTCTTCAGGTGTTTTGGAATTACAACTCCAGTATCTAAGGCCCTCTAAAAGCCAAATTGGTTGAGAATTTTTGAGAGCTACAGTCCCAAAATATTGCAAGAGCCCATATGTCATATTCTGAAAAGCTCTTCCCCTCAGTTCTCAATACAGCGCTAAAACTGATCCTTGTGAGGTTATTTAAATAGATCGATCTCAACATTCTTTATTGAGGTGGCGTTCCTGATACATAACCTTATTTTTGATTCTTATAACTGTGGTTCAACATTGCAATGAAATATGAGCTGGGGTTGTATATCCTATCTAGGAGAAAAGTAACGATATGTTAAATAGTTTGCTATTTCAAGATATTTTTTCAACCTTTTGGTCTAGTGTTCTGCTCTGGTATTTCCTGGTTGTCTTCCATCCAAGCACTAAACACCCCTAACCTTGCTTAGAGAACCAGTTTGGTGTAGTGGTTAAGGGACTAGGCTAGAAAACGGGAGACCATGAGTTCTAGTCCTGCCTTAGGCATGAAGCCAGCTGCGTGACCTTGGGCCAGTCTCTCTCCCTCTCAGCCCTAGGAAAGAGGCAACTTCAAACCACTTATGAAAAAAAGCCTTGCCAAGAAAACTGCAGGGACTAGTCCAGGCAGTCGCCAGGAATCAAGACTGACTTGAAGGCGAGGGAGGGAGGGAGGGAGGGAGGGAACCCAAAACAAAAGAAACAGAAAAACACCACCTTGCTTAGGTTTTCAGTCCAGATAAGGTCAGCCAAATACTGCTATCTCAAAAGAAAGAGCTAAGTTGCACCTACTTGTATGGACATTGGTATGAGCAATCTCTTGCTGTATGACATGCACAAATGGAGGGACGTTTTGTTCTGCAGTCCATTAGATGACCACCATCCCACTAGCCATCCTGAAATGAAAAAGGGATGTTCGGTATTACTGTACGGAAAGAACCACATATGTGAATAAATGCCCACCTGTTCCCAGGAGCTCTGGTTTGGATGCCATATACTCCACAACTGATATCAGCTGGGAAGGTCTCCAAGATGCAAAGAAGAGGAGAAGCAAGTAAGGGACCATGACTCTTCATTACATTCTCCGTAATATACTTTTGTTAGAATAACAGTTTTATGAAACAGGTACAGGGTGGAATATATGGTAGGAGAGAAAAATGGGGCTCATATTTAAGCCATGTTTATACCATACAAATTATGGAGGAAAGAAGGTTAATCAGTATATCAAGATTCAACACATGAATAATTGAAATACAGTTCTATACTCCTAAAACAGGATTGAGGACAGAGGTAGGAGAAATTACTTTTTGGAGGAGAAGAAGAAGGAGAAGGTGATCCAATAAAATGACCAAGTAAGGATTTAGAAGCTTATAAGAAGAAGAATTAAATTGCCGGTGATAACTCACAGAGGCAAATTCAATTGATAGAAAGAAGTGGGGGTGGGGGGAGAGGAAGGAAATAGCACAGTGTTCCCTAACTGGATAACTTGCAGATGTATTGACCAATTCCCAGACCGCGCCAGTCAACACAGCTGTGGCTGAGTATTCTGAAAACTGATCCAAGCACCTGGAGGACATTAGTTGGGGACAGCTGAAATAGAAAATAATTCTGATTACCTTGATACTTAAGATATTAAGTGGGTTCATTGGACTAAACCATGGCTAGTTGAAACCAAAATTGGCTCGGTATAAGCAATCTGATAAGCCATAATGCATGGTACATACATTGCATTGGCTAAGTTTCCACATAAAAGCTAATAAATCACATAATGGATTAATGCAGTGTGTGAATCTGGCCTTGCAGAAATAGAGTATTCGTGTCTCCCAGTTTTTTTGGCTAGGAATTCAGAAACAAATGAAAAATCTTATGCTTCTGAAACATTCTATCTCACTACAGGTAGACTCACTTCTGTAAAAACATGCCAAAGATTGGACAAGTGAACCCATGGTTCCTTCAACCAGATTTGACTTCTGGAACAGTATTTTCCCAACCTTGGCACCTTCCAGGGTGTGGACTTCCCCTCCCAGAATTTTCAGCAATTACTATGCTGGCTAGGGAATTCTGGAAGATGTCCATGCAGTTGGAAATTGCCCAGATTTGGGAAACACTGTTTTAGAGTAAGAAACAAGCTACAACCTCCATGCTGCATGTAATATTTATGAGATTTTGGGGAGACTCCTGGAGCCCACATTTGGTGGTAAAACACTAACATAGTCCCTAAGTTCCTGAGTCACTGTTTTCTAAGTTGATGAAAACAGCCACCTCATCAGGCCATAAGGTCTTTGGGCCTTAATAAAATACCTTGCCCACTTCTTGTTTACAGTTTAGTTTATCCCTTCAAACATGTACAACAGTCTAGATTGGAATAATCAGAGATTGCAGGAAGACAAGAGAGAGATTTAACCCATTTCTAACCTGCACTGGATTTTTCACAGAAATCCACCCCCACCCCCCAGGCTCTGTTTCTATTTGCTCTCAGGGAAGTTAAAGCAACCTTGAGCTGGCTGGTGACTATTAGGAGATTATATAAATCCCTTCTCACGCCTATGGGTGGTCTGTGTCTTCCTCAATCTCGGGTCCTCTACCAGAGGCCTGGGAGTTGGAGGGTTCTGTGTAGTATCTGAGCTGTTCCTAGCCCTGCACTCTTCTGCACAGAGAGCTCAGATGCTGTTCCTGGGATCTGTTGGAGCCCCTCTCCCAGCTTAGGAGTCACGGCCCTGAGTGCTCCTGCCACCACTGGGACCACTGTGGCCTTGACTTTCCACATCCTCTCTAGTTCCTCCTTCAGGCCCTAGTACATCTCCAGCTTCTCCTACTCCTTCTTCCTGATGTTGCTGTCACTTGGCACCGCTACTTCTATCACCACCGCTGTCTTCTGGTCCTTGTCTACTACTATAGGTAGGTAGGTAGGTAGGTAGATACACACATACATAAAATCACACACACACTTACACACACACACACACATACATAAAATCACACACACACTTACACACACACACACATATAAAATCACACACACACACACAT